ACTAAGTGACAGGACTGCTTTCTAATAACTAACACAACAGTTCAAAAAAATCGTTAAAAACTCAAAATGTTGGTAATTTGGGGCCTTTAATGATTTCTTTCAACTGTTCTTTTTCCAGGATGAAATCATTGTACAGCATACATCTTTGATGAGTTAAGTTATAGTTATATTTAATAGTGAAAAATAAAAAAAGTATTGAACAGATGAAGAAAGAGAGTTATGACACCAACTGAAATCATTCATGCTCACGGTGAGGTAAACTTTTAAGCAACTCTAAAGCACCTTTAGACATCTGTTGCTGTGAATCAGCACTATATCAACAAATCTAAATTGAATTAATGCACTACGTTGGACTGTGCTGCACCATGATACCAAGACAGACTCCTCTTTTGGTTACAAACTTGGTAATAAACAAATCTGATACAGGGTGGGCTGCAGGGTTCGAGGTCAATCCTAAGTTGACCATTAAACATTGGTCAATTAAAGGTGCAGAAATGAAATAAAATTTAAACTGATGTTGCTGATTAGAGCCATTCACAGAATTCTAGCTTTTGTACAAGCATTATACTGCCTATGTGTCAAAAATAAGCTGTGACACTTCATGTAACATCTGCTTATATTGTGATGAATTCCCGCACCCAAGAACATTTGTCTGTCGGTCGGGCATTGCTTTGCAGCCGTGACCCTTTAATGTATTTACCACCGAGTCCAATGTAATTTAGTTGTATTCTAGGCTCTAACTGTTAGTTGCTTCAATTGCTTACCTCAAGCCCTTTAAACTTAAACTTTTGGTTCCCCACCTGTCAAATCTCACTTTTACCACTAACCAAAAGTCATGAAGTACAGCATTAGCTAAGATACAAATTTCACAGTTACTCTTATACAACTCAGTGAATGAGATCCATTCAGTGCAAATACAACAGTACAGATATAGCACTAATAATTTATCGAGAATATTATCTCAAGCACCTTCTTACCCTTTGGGAAATTTGTCGTCAAAGTCAGGACCATTAACATTTTTTTATATTTGGATGACCTGCAGCCATTAATAAATTCAGACAAAAACTTAAAAGATTTTTTATAGTTCAGACTCTGATGATCACAACATAACATTTTAAAACATCAGACAAAAATAAGACCAAATATACTGAATGAAGCACACATGCTTTTTCTAAAATGAAACGGTTTGTTCATCGTGGTTTGAAGACATATATGAAGAAGAGTAACATACTCATCATGAGTCCAAATGGGACCATAAACATGTCTTTAAATCATATGTGGCGCACCAGTCTTACCAACATAGAGATCACTGTAGAGCTCTGGTTTTGCATGGCCCTGTACGGTGGTGGGCCTGACCATTCTGTGCTGTCCATTAAGTTGCAGCACGGCCTCCTTGATGTTTTTTTCAGCCTCCACACGATGCCACTGGTCATTATTTAACGGCACTGGTGAGCGGACACTGAGCTCCATCTTCTCAGTGCCAATGCCAAAAGAGAATAAAACCACTGAGTCGGCTGTGGAATCAAACATGTCAAACATTGGAAATAGTTAAAATTTTCATCTCCTAGAGACAGATCGTAATAAACACTGATGATTAAGTTATTTCTGTTTACTAGGCTTTTAAATCCTTATTCAAAAAGCTCTTACTTGATCCAGATGTTTTAACTAAATATTTCCTTTCATTTCAAAATTTTTTGAAAGACAAGTCGCCGAACACTGACCATTTGCATTTGCAAAGGAACGGTTTATTTAATGGTTAAAGTGCATCGTAGCACAGGAGCAGCACTAGTGAAGGTTATGAATTATCTACTTATGGGCTCTGATAGCAGACTCCTCTCCATGGTTGTCCTGACAGACCTCAGTGCACAAAGTTTTACTTCAGAGATTAGAAGTCACCACTGTGCTGGTTTGAATCATATCTGATAGACTCCAATTTATCCATATAAACGGGAGTCTTCTTCACATTTAAAAGTTATGGAGTTCCACAGGGCTCCATGCTGGGACCAATATTTTTTACATTATACATGTTTCACTTAAGGAATATTATTATAAAACAACACAGATATTTTAAAACGTTTTCAGTGGGAGAAACGTTTCGTCACTCATCAGGTGACTTCTTCAGTCTCAGCTGATCAATGAACTGACCTCACAG